GAGGAGCGCAGTTACCTGGGCCCACCAGTTCGAGGTGCGGGTATCATCCCTACACCGTACCCATGTGTACGGCTGACCTGTGGTGTACTCGGGGCAGGAGACCCAGGTTCCTGAAGATTCTGCTCCGATGTGTCGACAAACCACGAGGTAGCGGCTAATGGCACAGGTGCGGGGTCGGTCAGGTGGATGGTCAGTGCGGTTGCTGCGGTGGTAAGGGTACTCCCATGCCGGGGCCCTGCGTGTCCACGGTGAACGTAGGCGCCCCCCTGCGTATCCGCTAGAATCAGCTGGTCGCACGTTCTCCCACGGCTGGAGTGGCCACGCCAGCTCAGTACGCCGTCGGCCAGCGTGCGTGGACACGTCAGTCGACAGAGGTACCGAGCCCGTCCAACGCGATTGAAGTCCGGAGGTGCGGTTAGGGACCGATCGGGCTCACGGGTTGCCTCCACCTCGTCCTGATGAGTAAGTGATCGTTCCAGACGGTGTGGTGGCGCCCACGACTGCATCGCCTGTCAACGACCGAGGGGAGAAGAAAGAGGCGTTCACGGCAGGAGGAGCCGGAGGGTGGGGAGCAAGAGGGGGGAGAGGGAAGGAGGGGGGGAGGAGGTCAAGACTATCGAAAGGGTCACAATCCCCATTCGAAGCGAGCCTCAAGGGCGCCTACATGGTAGCAGGGATAACCCCATCTCAAAGACAAGCACCACACAGGAGCCCCACTAACACACGGCGACTCAACTTTGGGGCAGTGGAGGGCTCCGTATGCGGCAGGGCTCAAGAAGCAAGGGCGGGGGGCTCTTCAGAGCGCTAGATGGCTGTGACTGGTAGGACTTATCTCGGGAACGAGGAGAATCGGGTAAAGCTGACCTGAATGTGGGCCACTACCAGGCGCAGGACAGATGAGATAGCAGACGGTTGTAAGGGACGAGGGCAAAGGCGATCCAAAAACCCGGCAGAGCCCCGTGTTCGTGTGCTCAGGGATCCCACCACTGAACCGAGGCAATGGTTGACCACCGCAGAAAGCGGGGGGACGCGTCATCAGGGGGAGGGGCATAGGGGGGGTGGCTGACCGGGGCGGGCGAGGTCCATTCCGTAGGAGGTGTGTCTGTTTGGCCCACCCGCCATGTGATCATCCTAGGGTGAGTTTTTTTTTTTGAGTGACCTGTGCCTCCCCACTGCAAATATCTCTGGAGCTACACATGTAAACCTCAACACAGGCTAACCTTTCCTCTGTACTCCTTCCTTGCGACCTCTCCATAGCGTACCAGCTTCATGGTGGGGTACTTGGAGACGTGGAACGGGTTAGCACACAGGGCCTCTGCAGTAGTGAGACAGTGGACACCAATGGTAGAGTGTGTACAACACACAAACAGAGAGAGGGGGGGATGAAATGACGGGAGAGGGGGAGATGAAATGACGGGAGAGGGGGAGATGAATTGAGTCGAGTGGTGTGAGTTACCGTACAGTGGGGGAGAATGACAGTTGGAGAGTAATGTTTTTATGATTCCAGTAATGAGGCATTTAGCAGGGTTACTGGTCAAGCTTGTTGCTATAAGTGTTTGTGGGCCTAGGCGTCATTCCGTTTGGTATATCTTACGCAAGTCCTCTAACATAGTGTAAGATATGACATGCATTGAAAGTTGTGGGAAATATGACCATGTAGAAAGAGTGACACCCCCCCTCCCCCACCAAACAAAGTGCCTGGGTGAAAGAGCATTATGGTGAGGAAAGTAATGAGTGTAAGTGTACGATGTAGCATGTGTTATGAACAAGGTGGTGTGGGACGGCTTTGACTGTGGGTGGTTAGCCAAACATTGCAGTGTATACACATACACTCCTGTCCAGACTCACTTTCAGAATCACAGTCCACTTTTCCAAACAGCACAGTCGTCCCCTAAACAAGGGAAGGACATACATGTAAGGCTATATGATAAGTTGCATTGTCCCGTCACGCACACCGTGTTGCTTTGTCACAACCATTTCCATCTTGGTAGGACAATGCAAAGGGGTGATGCGATGTACTGTGAACGAGACAATGATCCTGCCACCATGGATGTATTACTGTCTTGTATTGCATACATCCGTGGTGACAGGATCATTGCTACATGTACGTACTGAGGCATTCTTCGGTCACATGCCAGATTTCATTTTTAAAGTCCCGCACAATTCAGCCAGGAGTGTGTGTACGAGGGTTCGAGATTGAGGATGAAGATCCAACACTTGGTTGTGTGCACCTTCCATTTTTGAGAACCATAAAGTGTATGAGAAAGAATCCAACGGAGTACGGGTGAGAAAACGTGAGTGGAAAAATATCAGCGGTTCACGTGTAATTACGCAACGCATTACGACATGAATATTACCATTTGACATTTCAGACAGCATGGTTGCTTGCTTTGTGGCAAACTAGAGGTATGTACATGTTATCTAAGTCCTACCTCCTAGTCCTTTAGTCGGACCATTATATTATACTGGAGAGCCAAGGAATGCTTCGTGAATTTAATAATTAGGCGGCACTTCATCGTGGGTCACGTACGTAGCTGTAGGCTATCTAAACTGTCACATGACTATCACACGACAGTCATGTGACGACTCACTGCAGTGTCCTCTGTGGCCATTGCATCGGCTGCCTTCTCAAAGATTGGTTTCAGTTGTTGGCTAAACCGACACCAGTCAGCGTAGAAATTGAGTAACAGAATGTCATTGGTGACTGGGTGGGGGAGAGAGGGGGAGGGAGGGAGAGATGGAGAGAGGAAGGGGAAGGAGGGGAGGGAGGAAGGGAAGGGAGGGAGAGAGGGGAGGGAGGAAGGGAGGGGAGGGAAGGGAGGGAGAGAGGAAAGGGAGGGTAGGGGAGGAAGAGAGGGAGGAGAAGGAGGGGAGGCACGCCCACTCAGGTGAGGAGCGGGAAGGCGGCCGGGAGAGGATGGCATTTGAACGGGGAGGCAGACGGGGATCAGAGGAAAGCGAGACCACACCCGGGGCGGGGGGGGGGGGCGGGGGGGGTGGGGGGGGGGGCCGAAGGGGAACCAGGGGGGGCCGGCGGGGGGGGGGCGGCGGGGGGTTGGTGGGGGGAGAGCGGGGGGGGGGCGGGGGGACCAGGGGCGGGGGGGAAGCTGGTCAGGGGGGGAGGGGGGGAGGGGGGGAGGCGTCGGGCGGGTAGGGCGCGTCGGGGGGGAGGGAGAGAGGGGGGGGGGCTGAGGGGGGGCGGGGCGGGGGGGTCCGGTGAGGCTGGCTGGGAGGTGGGATGGTGGGGGGGGGAGGGAGGGCGGGTGGGGGGGGGCCAGGGAGAGCGGGGGGGGGGGGGGGGGGGGGGGGGGGGCGGCGCGGGGGGGGGGGGGGGGGCGGGGCGGGGAGGGGGGGGGCGGGGGTGGGGGGGGGGGGCACGGCGGGGGGGGGGCGGGGGAGGGCGGTGGGGGTGGGCGGGAGGGGGGGGGGGGAAGGGGGGGGGGGTGGGTGGGGGGGGGGGGGCGTGATTCTGGGGGGCGCGGGGGGGGGGGCGGGGGGCAGGGAGGGGGGGGGGCGGGGCGGGGGGGTGGGGCGCCGGGGGGGAAAAGCATGGGCCCGGGCGGGGCGGGGGGGAGGCGGGGGGGCGGGGGGGGGTACGGGGATGGAAGGGGCGGGTGGGTGGGGAAGGCCCGGGGGGGGGCGAGGAGGTAGGGAGGTGGGGGAGAGGGAGGAAGGTAAAGGGAGGGGAGGGATGGAGAGAGGGTAGGGGGTAAGGGAGACACAGTGGGGGAGAGGGAGGGGAAGAAGAGAAAGGGAACGAAGAGAGAGAAGGAAGAGAACGGATGGAGGGGGGAACACAGGGAATAGGTCATGTAGGGTGGAGTCAAAAGTAAAACTAAAACAAATCCAAATCTGACGCAGACATTGATATACGTACACTGCCTCTTGCGCCCATACAATTAATCCAGTTGTGGGAAATTCCTGGTCTTCACCAGGTTACCCGGTTGTCTTCCCAACAACTATTGCACTTCTTTTGCACGTAACCCTATTCCATTGAACGAACGCCCTGGCATCTTTGAATTAATAATGTATTTATGTAAATTCAAACATTGTGCCCATTTGGCAACATGTCAGAGTACGTAGCATTAGTTCACAAACATTTTCCCAGTAAAAAACTTGTATTACTGAGGAGAACGTTGTGGCTGACATTACATACAGCAAAAGATAGTTGCAAAATTTGCTATGGGAGTTTGGGGATAGTGATTACGGTCTCACCTCTGAGTTCATTGTAGTTGCTGGTCGTCACCTGAACGGCAGCGCCGCCAGCCACATACTGCAGACATACCTGGCGCAAACAGTGGGTCAGAGAGAGGCTATGACATTATTCAGTATGTATGTACTATACACGTTGGGAACGTCATATCCCAGCTGTATAACTGGTCCGTTCCATGCTGCAGCTATAGAGAGCAGGCTATTTCATAAAAACTCGGTATTATAACGCACTGACTAAATATGCACAAAATCTTCGCTTATAGAGCCAACAGATTTTGCCAACGCATTCTATTTAGCGCGCTCCACGAGGTTTCTATACAGTTCTCCGGGACAGTTGGACAAGAAGCTATACCTGCAGTGTCAGTAGTCCCAGTAGAGGGGCTCGCAGAGATCCACTCATAGCACACACGGGTCGCAGGACTCCGGAGAAAACGCTAAAACTGTCCTCGGCTTTGCGAAGGAATGAGAAGAGGGCGGAATTGCATGTTACGTCACATCCTGCTTTACAGGATGTTGGTGATGCCAGCATTATGATGGGAAAACGGTATATACATAATGCATACAAATTCATTATACAACAGACACATAAATACAATGATTTTACATAGTGTTTGTTGGTTAACTGATTGATTAACTTTTACAGCAGCCTCCATTTCCCTGTAGGAGGAGTGAGGGAGAGAGGAGGGAGAGAGGGGAGGGAGATGGAGGAGAGGGTGAGAGGAGGGAGGGAGGAAGAGAGGAGGGAGGAGGGAGGGTAACATGAGGAAACGAGGGAGGAACAGATGAGAGGGGGGGATAAGGTCACAAGGCAAACAAGATGACTGGTGCTCACTTGTTGTCGCATCCTGTCAGAGACATTGGGCTCCAAGGTGCCTGTCCGAGGTGAACCAGATGCACTCTTGGGGAGTTTATTTGCTGTGATGATGCACAATACACATAGGCAGGATCCTAGTGCAACCCAGACAATCATACAACAATATTGGACCTACACACCCACACACGTATGTACGCACACAGCGGTGGTGAAGCCTTGGAAGACACAATGTGCCATTTGATTCTGGGAATCTACTGTATGTGAAATGAATCCCAACTCATCAGGGCACTGTCTAGTAGTAGTGGAGACAAAGTGCTGTCTCGGTTTTCTCCCCCACACCACTGATAATCAACGTCCTCACACAAAAGACTGGGTCCATATGGAACATTATGTTATAGTCTTGTACACCTCTGGAGGGGAAAAGTGACTATTAAACCATTTCTTGGTTGTGCTGACTCAAGGCACTAATATCCCTGTGACCTGGAGACAGAACCAGCCTTTAGAGCATATCCTCATCTCCCGAAGTTACAGATCCTTTTTGCCTACTCCCCTTGCTTTGTTCTATCGACTAGAGGCTGTTCACCTTGGAGGCCTGATGTGGATATCGGTACAAGAGGACACGAGGATCAGACGTGCCCTATACGTATGATACGTCAGCACAACGAGCAAGCTCAGTAATGTTCATCCCAGCCTCGGCACGGGACTATATAAGTTGATGTACAAGTTTGTTACCAGACACCACCTTCGTAAAGGGAGCACCTCACAGTTATGATAAACTACAGGATCTCTCATCTGGGTCAAATGTACAGTGGAACCTCCAAACAAGGGCCAACAATTTTGTCCCTTGGTGAGAGGTTGTCCGGAGGTCCGTCTCGGAGGTCAAATAATACACTAAAATATTAGCATGGGGTCGAAACAAGTGTCTTTTGTAGAGAGGTCGTCCTTATCTCGGAGGTCCAATAATACACACATGTATAAGTACATGTAATACAATGTATTAGCATGGGGTTGAAACAAATGTACAGGTTGAGGTTGTCCCTATCTAGGAGGGTCCCTTATTGGATGTTCCACCATACACCTCTGCATTTCTATTTGGCCACAGGACCCAGGATAGGGCAGGATAGCTAGGGCAGGGCCTGGGTAGAAAGCTACAGTACACACCTATGTATGTCTGTATGTACCTATTGCCAAGAACAGTTCCTGGACGTTCTGGTCGCTCTTGGCCGATGTCTCCATGAACAGGAGACCGTTATCTTCCGCATATGACTGCGCATCCTGCAGCAAACAGATACACACACACTTCATGTGTACAAAAATTGTAGGTCGTCAAAGAAGTATACATGAAATTATAGTTCATAGCATACCAGCCATAGGTATATAGATAGATAGATAGATAGATAGAGAAATAAATAAAAAACACCACCACCATATTTACAAACCCCAATATATCCACACAAAACACATACACAAATACACATGACATGACATGATAGTAGGACACTGGGTGCCCAGCCTTGAGAACCGGGACGGTGGGTTAAAGAGTCTTTTATGGCTAGCCAACTCTCCCCACACACCCAGCATCCAAACTCCACATCACAAACAATGACAGCCACACAGTGAGTAACTGTACGATAGTACAGTCACGACAACACATGTAGAGTACGATACATATAAATATAAATATATAAATATATACACAAACACAGATGGTAGAAAAAAGAAATTGGTAGCATTGTAGAAAAATAGAAAAATAGAATCTAGCTTACTTACTGGACGTAAAAAACAAGGTAGAATGACTTACTTGTGGCGGTAAAAACGTGGTAGAAAAATAGAATCTGGAATAAAATGACTTACGCAGTAAAAACGTGGTGCACTTGTACATGTAACTATAGATGACACCCCATTAGTTGGCAAGTGAAGCAAGCCCAAATAGTCTTCTGAATATCTCCGGTTTTTCTCTGTTTGCAGACAGTACTGTCCCTACTGCATGCTTCTCCTAATCCTATCTACTGTACATATAACAAGGCTCAAACTTTGCACTCTCGCTTGCTTGCTAATAGTATGTTCCATAATATTCGTCCATAAGTAGTGATGCATAATACAGTTCATTGTATGGGACAACAGCACGAAACGTGTACTACGCCACGCACGGCTTCTCTTTACAAAACCGAGGAATGAAGACCTCCAAGTGACCAGGTAAGTCGTGTCATGTGTGGCAGAGGACTTGGATGATATGGATACAGTAACTGCATTTATGTATTCATGCGGTAGGCCCTACTAATTTCCGTTCCCATGTAAACTGGGGAATGGAGGAATGATATGTGTGCAAGTACATATGTAATGTAAGTGGGTATAATTATATGCACATGGCACAGCTTTTACTTTGTTAAGGTACTAGTCTAAGGAGTACATAAAATTGTGGGTGCACATGTCTTTAAATGATGTCACTTCATCATCATGGATATAATTATATACTAGGTTAGGTATGATATACAAAAAGGTGAGGCGAATCCACTGTGTTGTACGGTACGTACCTCAATGTGAACTTTTCTGATGTCCTTGAGGTCAGCCTTGTTACCAGCCAGAGCTATCACTATACTAGGACTGGCCTGGCGCTGCAGCTCTTTCACCCAGTTCTTTGCCCTCACAAATGTGTCCTTTGTACGAGGGAGAGAGGGGGACGTGAGAAGAATGGACGGGAGATGTGGTTAGGGAGGAGGAAGGGAGAGAGAAAGGGAGGAAAAGTAAGGGGAGGGAGGGAGGAGAGTGGGGGTGGGTATGGAGGGAGGAGGGAGGGAGAGAGAGAGAAAAACAGTAATGTCCCTGTGCTTCCAGACATGGTTGTAATCACTTGGGGAGACGGAACCTGACATATGAGGATGTCTTATGAGAGTTTTCTGAAAATTACTGGGCCCTCTTAACTCTCATTCTCTTTTTTACATCACGGGGATGGGTTATATAGGAGTTTCAAAATAAGAGAGAGTGTGTGGACTGAAGGAAGGGCACGCAGTAGCAAAACATCTGAAAAAGCATCCGCCGAACAAAATGGCTACTTGGTTCCACGCCACAATTGATAAAAGAGTTCCCCAAAGTGTTCCTAATTAATCTACACACAAGAGGGGGAAAGCCCCTCTAATAGAGGAAGAGTGCCTAATCAGCAATTCAGAAGAAAACTGAAGAATTGTTGGATAGTTTTGCCAGAAAAACCGAAAGAATGCTCATTGCTATATATGGTTGGAAACCATGATCTTGTTAAAACTTTCATTGATTATTTGTCCCACTACAACACCACTGAGATTTTTTACAGTCAACAATATTGTGTGGAACTATTTTGAACGTGTAATGAAATTTTCCACTGTTGGTATCTGTGACCCAAACCTTTCGCAAAATTTTGGGATGAAGTGCAACATGGTACTTGTGTACTGGTGTGTGTGGTGTGTAGCTCACGCCGTCTGATATGTCGTACACGACGACAGCTGCCTGAGCTCCTCGGTAGTACATGGGAGCCAGACTGTGATATCTCTCCTGGCCAGCCGTGTCCCAGATCTCAAACTTGACCGTCGTGTCATCCAGGTTGACTGTCTGAGTCAGGAAGGCAGCTGTGAACGTACATGAGGAGTTGAGCCAGAGCAGTGAGCATCAAAGAGAACAGGCAAACAGACACTAGTGTTGTGACGGAGTGTACTTACAGTAATGTGCATCATAACAGCTACGTATGTAGAATCCCCTGCATAATCTCAAAGAAACCCATCCGTGCCCATGCTTACACACACACATATAAAACTCCAAAAGTGTGACATGAACGGAAGGAAGGCACTACTGAATGTGGAGGCTCTGCTAGGAATATGCAGGGTGCTGCTCCCTCAGTAGACAAAAGGGATGGGGTAAGAGGGATTAGGGAGGGGAAGAAAGGAATGGAGTTGGAGAAGGGGAGAGGGTGGGGATGAGATAGGGAGAGGGGGAGATCGGAAACGGGAGATGGTGGGGTAAAGGAGAGAGAATACAAGAACCATTAGGGAGGGGGAGGGGTGGAGGGAGAGACTATATGCACAAAAGGGAAAAGTGTAGGTAACCTAGAAATTGAAAGGGAAGAGAATGAGGAGGGGATATGGGAAAAGATTGAGGGAAAGTTGTACTAAGACCAAGAGAACAGGAAACTACATTATAAGGTCCAAATTAGAAAGGGGCTAAGCGAGTTCTAAAGGCTTGGTCACCTGACCACATGCAACATACATGTGTACATATTACCTCCTATAGTTGCCTCTAGATGGTCAGAGTATTCTCCTTTGACAAACCGCAGCACCAGACAAGATTTACCCACACCGGACTCTCCTGTGTAGTGAAATGCAGGGGGTTTCATCATAATTGAGAACAAGGCTTGGAGAATAGGGAGGGGGGAGGGAGAGAGAGGAGAAAAGGAGGTGGTGAGAGGGGAGAAAAGGAGGTGGTGAGAGGATGGGGTGTAAGGAGGAAGTGAAAGAGGAAATAGGGAGGAGGAGAGGGTGGAGCAAAAGTGCAAAGGAGACACAGATAGAGTTGAGGTACTGAGATAGAGAAGATTAGGGAGTCACAGTTTGCTAGCTCCCACGTCTGTGTACATTACTATTGTATGATACTTACCCAGCAGAACCAACTTGAAATGACATATTTTGTCTCTGGATCCATTAGCCCTATGGGCTGAACCGCCACGTGACGCCATAGATCCTGTGGTGTGTCAGTAGACGACTGCACACAGCGGGGCAGTGGTTCGTGTTGGGCTCACACACAAATCCTTCAACAGCACCTAGTACACATTGTACACAATAAAAACGCAACAACTACACTTCAGAAAGAAATCACCTGTTTATCTGCATGCCTCACCTCACTCATCAGCCATTATTCATTAGTTTACCACCTGTAGCAGGCAACCTATACGTGCCTACCGCCATGGTGGGCCTAGGCCCTAGTCATAGAGAAAGCCTTGTTCTTTGCCTACCACTTCACTAACTGATTTCCCAAGATACGACGGGGCTTGGGACTAGTAAACTAAGACCCACACGCAGTTTGCAGTCACCGATTACTGAAAGGTCTTACCTGCGTCCCCAGGGGTCTAGAACACGAATCGTCAATCGCTACCTCTCGCTTTGTCCGCACGAACACACAACCAACAACACCGGCACCCAGCCCGAGACCCAGCCCTTTTCTTTCTTACGCAGGGCGCTTATGCTATGAAGCGTTAATGGCCGGCCACAACAACAAACATGTTTTACCAGTAGTGACGTCATAAAACAAATACATAGCAGACTGGCACACGAACAATAAGGTTTGTTAAATAAGTTGCACAGTTATAAATGAGTGGGTGTTTTCTGGTGTTCCGTTATACGTCCAGGTGTGTGTGCATGTGTTGAGTGCTAATAGAAACATCTCCACAGAAAATATCGAGGTGCAGACTTTACGATTTGCCGCAGCACCCACCTCCTCCCTGCAGTGGAAAAGATTACATCATCATTACATCACCATACTAATACAGTACAATCGTACAGTCACTGTGAAGGGAGCTTATACAATCATCGAGTATATTGTCCCAAAAGCAGACAGTCATTCCACGAAATCGTCCACATCGCGACAATGCACACGAGGTATTCATACACTAATGGTACAACACCACTCCCTAATTGCACACCTAAGCAATACTTACAAGGCTCAAATCGAAGGAGGACCCTGGGAACGTTGGCATTGTTTATTAGTAATACTAACAAAACGCTGTGTTTCAGTTGTCAATGTCTAAAAAGTGAAATTATGCATCCTCGTTGCAATATCAAGTTCATGGGTGAAAAACCCCTTGCTTACCGAAAAAGACAAAACGTTCATAATTAGGACACTTCAATCTACAAAAACCATGCGGCTATATTATGTAGCAGTAGATTTAATGGGCAAAAATGGGAACCCCTCTTATCGGGACCATATTATTAACCCTCGGTGTGCATGCGCAGCGAGGGTTACGGTAGTTGGGTCTGTCTGTGTGTCCTTCTGTGTGTCTGTTACTCGACATCTCACTTCGACTGGGTCCACTTGCTCAATGCTCTGTGTATCTTGAAGGCACAAGAAGTCACAACGAAGGGCGTGTATCAACTCTCGCATGCTATCTACTACTGTAGCTAGCCCGTGTCAGACTCTCTGCGAGCTATATACTAGCGGGAGACCACGAGTAAACGCATAACTAATAGACAATAGCCCAGCCCATCAATTAACAGTGTCGCGCACGCGCAGTTCGCCGAGGGTTTGCACTTTAGTGCTTTTCATTAGGAAGGTCCAGGTGTTAAACCGTAAGGAACAGTTCTTGCTGGAAGAAAGGTGTCCTGCGCAGCGACGGTTACAGTATACTTGGTCTGTCTGTCTGTCCGCCCGTCTGTTACCACGCGCAACAAACAGGCCAAAAAGTGACACCAACGGGTTCAGCGCTACACTGGCTTAATTTTAAAAATGGCAATATTCCTAAAAATACTGCGTTCTAAAGTTATGGCGTGAGAACCAAGTGAACGAGCCAATATGTTAATTAGCACAGGCTTACCTAAACTGGGTCCGCTTGGTCTGTGTATCTTGAAGGCACAAAGAAGTCACAACGAAGGATTGTATCGACTCCTGCGAGCTATCTACTACTTTCGCTTGTGTCAGACTCTCCGCAAGCTACATACTAGCGGGACACCACGAGTATAGTACAACACATAACTAATAGCCCAGCCAGTCATTAGCGGTACCAGTTCGCCGGGCTTGCACTTTAGTGCTTTTCATTTACAGCATCAGATATACCACAATGCTCAGAGTTATATACATAGTCTTGGAACAAGGCTTCAGTAGGAGGAAAACCCTCTCTACATATATGACACCCCTGATAGTTCTCTTCCTTACTTTTCAGAAGAAAACCCTTGCATGCATAATTATTCCGTCACACTGGTGACCCAATTACATGGTTTCCACTCTAAAGTGTATACAAAAGTAGCTCTACAGTAGAACCCCTCTAATCCGGACATCAATCCAGGGAAAGCAAAAAATGTTTAGTGAGGTGTCCTTAAAAATTGCATGCAAGTCTGAGGAACTGTTCTTGGGAAAGAAAAGGTGTCCTTGTTAGGGAGGTGCCTTGATATCAGGCGTGTCCTTAGACAGTGGTACTATAGTGGGGTGAGACATTGGTTCCTAGTGGCTCACAGATTGTTGTTGTGGCTGGCGATCTGAGACATAGGGTTCTCGTGAGCTGGTCCCTGACCTCTGTACCCCAGATGAACCCTTTGGGAGCTTCTTAGCTGTGTGGGTGCATGTGTGCGTGTGCGTGCATGGGGAGAAGACAGGAAAAAAGTCTTACGACATGTGACGCGATACATTAATCAGTTACGGTCATATTTTCTGGCTTGCTGCTTCAATTTACACGTGCATTGAACATCATGTTAAATTTGTGTCAAAAATTCAAGCTAACATAAAATAAAATTCTTGTGTGTCTGCAGTCAAGCGAGGCTGTCAAGGAGAGTGCTCTACCAACTGAAACTAGTACGTATATACCAGGTCAACTCTGAGAACATAATACGACACCAGACAAAAGGCATACACCATCAGCAGAACAAACACGAAGCGTACCGTGGGTGTGTCGCACTAAGCAAGCTAGGCTGCACACAACATTGATCACACTGCATTCCACCGCCTATATATCCCACGTACATTCAGTCAGAAACGCCAGTCGTCCTGTTACTGTCACAGACAACTAACTACCAGTAGAGAATCAATGAGACCCTGAGGCAACCTCTACATTAGTGTGAACACTGATTCTCTGAACAAGCCTTTGTAAGGTCCAGCCAGTAGGCATTTGGATGAGCGGCCAGTCACACTATTTCTCTCACCTATTGCGAGGAATGTTTCGTTGACGTTCATGGCTGTCTTTGCCGAGGTCTCCATGAAAAGCAGAGAGTTCTCATCAGCATATGACTGAGCTTCCTGTATACATAGAGAAGATATTTATGATTGCTACGACATGTACAAGTCCATACATACATGTTGCATATACAATAGGAGAACTAACTTTCATACACTATAAACTCCATACACGTAACTACAGAGTTAGCATGGCAAAGGCAAAACAAACAAGTCAACTACACTCAGGACAGCTCAAGAAAAAAAGAAGAGCTGCCCTAGGTGGGATTCGAACCCATGACACTCTTCTGTGTAAGTGAGCGCTCTACCAATTGAGATAGGACACTAGCCCCCCCCCCACATGAAGCTGTTGGCAACACCCATACATGTACATACACCTTCCCTCAAACGTATGAATACTGTGCATAGTACTACAGACAGAGATATGTAATTATCGTGGTACACATACGGAACACAACTCATACGGAAAGTTCATGGTGTTACTGTAAAATTATACAAAATCACGATCATGAATATGGCAGTCATGGGGAGATTGCCTCCTACAAACACCAAAACATTTTACTTTCGTAGTCACCCCACAAGGAGTTTTGCTATAGCCTGAAGACCTTGCTATGCAAGAAGGACATTTCCTGCCCCTGACAATTTTCATGGCCTGGAGCCAACTCCAGCAAATTATGACCAAGCACAAAAAACTGCACAACGGTCACACATGCACTTGATATAACCTGGTTTTTTTAATCTATTCTGAATCTTGAATTTAATTTTTCATTTGCTCATGACAGACAATACTATTAACAAATCTTTGGTTACCATTCAATATGGTAATATCTCCCCCCCAGCTCAGGAGTCTACTGCAGGTCCGTTATCAACATTATATAATGAAATTGGCAATGTTCCCACCGCCCCAAACACACACATTAGTACACACTCACGTCGAAATCGACCATTCTCTTGCCGGCCAGGTCAGCCTTGTTCCCAGAGAGAGCTATGACAATGTTGGGACTGGCCTGACGCTGCAGCTCCTTCACCCACGACTTGGCTCTTACAAATGTGTCCTTTTAGTCAGTCAGGAGAGATAGTAGAGAGTTAGAGGAGGGAGGGAGGGAGGGAGGGGAGAGGAGGAACACCTATTACAATGCTCAGTGGTAGTGAGAAACCTTCCAAATAACAGGTTTTTCACTGAAATACGAAATATGTGGGCAGGAACCATAACAAGCATTCGACGAAACATCCTCACAATAAAAGGTTCTGCTCTCTTTCAAACAACATACAGTGTTAGTGATGTCATAGACAACAATGGCTGCCTGAGCTCCTCGGTAGTACATGGGAGCCAGACTGTGATATCTCTCCTGGCCAGCCGTGTCCCAGATCTCAAACTTGACCGTCGTGTCATCCAGGTTGACTGTCTGAGTCAGGAAGGCAGCTGTGGACAGGGGGCAGAGCAGCAGACATGGAGGGAGGAAGGGAGGGAGAGGAAGGAAGGGGAGGGAGAGGAAGGAAGGGAGGAAGGGGGGAGATGGAGGAAGGGAGGAAGGGGGGGGAGAGGGAGGAAGGGAGGGAGAGGGATGAAGGGGGGGAGATGGAGGAAGGGAGAGAGGGAGGGAGAGGGAGAGGGAGAGGGAGGAAGGGAGGAAGGGGGGGAGAGGGGAGGAAGGGAGGAAGGGGGGGAGAGGGAAAGTGAGATAAAAACTAATGAGAAGGTAGATAGAAAAAGAGAATCTCTAGTCTTGTTTCCAAATCCTCTCTGCTTCATCATTATCTACATGCTTTATGCAATGCAGTGTGGGCATGATACAGGACAATCAAAATGGGGGCGACCTGGTTGTCAGAAAGTAGAGAAAAGTCCCATAAAGGATGAGGTAATTCTCTTTTCAGGATGGAAGCTGTGCACTCCACAGGGATATCAGTGGTAAGGCCAAAGGGGGACATCCTGTTGTTTAGTTCCTATATTTACTTTATGCACCCTAAGGTTTGTGGATCATTCAATAGCAAACAAACAGGCACGTGGTTGACAAACTACAGACAAGCAGCGAGTTGAAGTTTTTGCAGTACACAGTATATACAATGGAATGACACAAAGCACCACTAAATTGATGGTCGGGCCACGCCACACTGTTACTAACAGAGGTATTTTCTCACTCAACACAGGCTAAATAGATGCATCGTCGGTTACTACTGAGGGCAGTGCTAGTCCAGATACTCGTCTGTTATGAACCTTCGAGTACTGTATCAGAATGAAAAGCACTAAAGTGCAAACCCTCGGCGAACTGCGCATGCGCGGTACAATTGATGGGCTGGGCTATTTGTAGTATGCGTTTACTCGTGGAGTAGCTCGCGAAGAGTCTGACACGGGCTAGCTACAGTAGTAGATAGCATGCGGGAGCCAATACACACCCTTCGTTGTGACTTCTTGTGCCTCCAAGGTACACAGAGCAAGCGGATCAGGTCGAGGTAAGCCTATGCTAATTTGCAATTGGCATGTTCACTTGGTTTTCATGCCATAACTTCTGAACGCGGCACTTTTTTTTATATACAAAAATCGCCATTATTAAAATGAAGCGGGTGTATCGCTGAACCCGTTGGTATCGCTATTTTACCTGTTTGTAACGCGTGGTGGCAGAAAACGTGGTAACAGACGGACAGACCAAGTACTGTAACCCTCGCTGCGCATGCGCGCCGCCGAGGGTTAATGAAACAGGGAAACTGCGGGGTGTTACTTGTAGAAGGGGTGGGTTACGGTGTCTGGGAGGTACATGTACAAACAATCAGCATATCTGTATGTGCTGATGTGTAGGTCACAAAACCCTCAGGACCTTTCTTCGTAATTCTCATCCTTTCTTCTTGTGAAAGCGTGATCTTTTCGTCCTATCGGTTCTGCCCATTTCTCTGGGTGCGTGGTGTGGTCAATGGCCCAAGTGCCATGACTACATCCTCAGTATTGTGAAGAGATACATACTTACCTCCAATGGTGCTCTCCTGATACTCGTGAAACTGACCCTTGACAAATCTCAGTACCAGACTAGACTTTCCTACTGCCGACTCTCCTGTTAGGAGACAGAGATGGGGGGGGGAAGAGGGGAGAGGAGGGGAAGGAGGAGGAGGCAGAGAGGAGGAAGAAGGAAGGGGAAAAGAGAAGAGGGAGATATGAACAAGGGGGTAATTATGTTAAGAAAACTTGTCTAGATATTGTAAACAGGGCTCTGTACTCAAAAACCTTACTCAGAGGGCTGGTATCCAGTCCAGTGTGACCACCCACAGATGCTGCTAGCCCGTGTTAGACCACAACGTGGCATGCCATCTATTGGCAGTGCTTTTTACACACGTGTAGTGCGTGCATAGGATTGGCTATAATACAGTGCAAGTGTTTGTCATGAGCAGAGGGTTTTCATTGTGGCAGTAGGACACACAAACTGATACTAGTGCTCCTACTACAGCAGCCATATGAAACAGTGTGGATTGGCAGCGGCTATGAACAGTATTTGAACCACTCTATGTACATGGTGGCACTCTAGTCTCCTTCTTACCCAGTAAGACAAGTTTGAACTGGCACACTTTCTCTCTGGGAATCCCGTTGGGTCTCTGAGCCGCTCCACCTCCTCTTGCCGCCATTTCCTGGGGAATGGAATGTGGACCTTATGCAGTGTTGGAGTTGTAGCCCATTAGCATAGTAGGAGGTGGGACAACAACCACAATGAATGTCAGCATTACACAGCAATCCACCGTTTCGATGAACACTTATCATGGTACATCAGTGCACAAAGTTTCATTGTGAGAGGACCCACCATAAGCAAGTTGTAGGCATAAACACAGTTTACAAGTTTCTATTGCCTGAAGCTGTTTGCTGTTGTTTACATAACTTGATAATAATGATGGTTTACATGTGTTCAAAGTCTTATCATAGCTTTACCTAGTTAGCACACTTTATTGGTCTCTATCATGTATGGCCTGTGGCTATTTGTTGTTGTTATTTGTTGTTTACATGTAAACAACATTGTTTACAAACAAACTAAAATGCTCTTGCACACCGGGTCATGGATTCCAATCTCTGTGCAAAGTTTCATTTACCTGGGTTTTGAGATATGTAGGCTTGTCTAAACTGAACAACAACAACACAGACACAAAGAAGAGTTTACTTTCTTTAATAAATCACGAATTACCGATTATTCAATTTCTGGGGACATGCTCTTTTTGACGATAGGGATCAGACTGATATGTCAAAAGTGGTATCTCATTAAAACTGAAAGTGAAACATGCAAATCTCGCAAATGTATTGGCATAATGCAGGACAGCCTCTGTCATCCCTATGATACTAAGTACTACCATACATAAGTCCTCCACATTAATTAGCATAATAGAGTTACGTATGTGTAGTCAAATCTTAGAAAGAACTACATGATGTAAACTGGGGCAAGTAGTAGGCAAGATTTCAGATGGCCAACAATCTGCATACGTGGACTGAACCTGCAGGTATGTGTGCATACCACACACACACAGAGGTTATACTGTGTACATTAACACACGACCACACAATGATGGCAAAAAGTGGGCATTTCATTGGCTCAGGTCCAATCAGGAATCAGCCTTAAACTTGAAGTCTGGCAGGCTACAGTACAGGTGGTGCATAAACCTGGATGCTAAAAAATAAGACACACCACTGCACTACTGCAAGGGAACTGTGCAGACAAACACACACTTTTACACGACACACACGCCTCAAATCTGTCCTTGTGCTGCTCACATGCAGATCGAATGCAGAGAAAATGGCTCGAAACCCCAGAGATATAGGTTGAACAAATGGTGGCGACTAAAACTGAGAATGGAAAACTACAGACCACCAGCTATAAACACATACATGTAGGCTCGCCACACCCAGTCTAGTAGCACACCACACCCAATAGAAGACATGTTACAATCCAAGGGGTGTAGTGTGCATAACCCCAACACCACGTCTGTTGGGACCACTGTTCCTACTACCAGCATTGTAGCTAACACGGTGTTCTGCATCTCCCAGCATGTTGGGTTTGCATGGAAGTCTAGCCACCACAACTGTCCATCTAGCAGACACATATACTTGGACTCTCCCTCCGGGTTTTTGGTGCATGTGTACATTGCTTATACAAGTAAGGGGAGGGAGGTGGGGTGGTGGATTACATCATATCCACAGGGCAGGCTGCGTGGTCCAGAGCTTACCAATACAGGCTCCCACCCACTAACACACCCGCCAGTAAATGCACAAACGCACGCACACGAACAGAGCAGCACACGTATGGTATAGTAAACTCACAGTCGTGGGGAGAAATAGGACGGAAGAGACGCGCTATGAGTTCGGTAGGGGTCCCAGGAAAGTACGGAGAGGGGAGGCGACAGAAACTCGACGTCCAACACAACGGGTACGAAGCTTTTCCCCCAAAGTTTACACTGACCTAGGATAAACCGTCTTTAGACAATCTCTCAGCGGTCTGATACCGTACGCAGAGCAGCAGATATTGGCCGTCCCAGCTCAAAACAGACGGGGAGAAGATTCATGTGGGGATAACTGTAACTCCAGTGAGGTCACGGGATCGGACGTGACCACGCGGATATGATGTCATGCTAAACCTCACCAGTGCGCATGCGCACACAACAAGACCAAGACAGCCTTTCTACTACACCGGTTCGCGTTTTGTGGTGAAGAAACGCAGAGGCGAATCTGTTCATTGTAGGTTGTCTGTCGTGTGTATATGGATGTAGCTACTCTTGAGTGGTGTAGGAGTTAGTGATTTTATTCCCATTCTGGTTTTCTTTGCAGGCTGCCGTTGTTTCTGACCTACGTTGAGCCATGAGGGATAAGTGGAAGAAAAAGCGGATGCGCAGGTGCGCGAGTGTGTAAAGGTGTATAGTCGTGGTCTGTTGGGTTTTGACGTTGAATTTGGAGTTACTGTGCTATAACTGAGGAGGCAACAAATGGCCGTACACGTGTGTGCTGCGTGGCAGGCCTTGTCTCTGTGCAAACAGGATAAGAGAACGTCTGGTGGCCTTTGAGCGATTTCCTGGTTGTGCTGACTCCGACTATCTTCTTCTGAGACACTGAATCGGTCACGCAATATGGTCTGGATGAACTTATTCACCTGATACTGTACAGGGACAGCAGCTAGCTAGCTAGAACGAAACCGAGCCTCTTATGCACAGGCCAGCAATAGTGATTCTTACAATTCTCAAAAGTCGTGCTAGACATCTCCCAGTGCTTCCAACTAAACTTCAAATTAGCCCATGTGTGCACAGTCTGAAAATTTTCCGTAGCTTGCCGTAAATCTCCCGTACACACCTTTTGTTTTAATACTTGCCACACCTTCTGGAGTGCTCTTCTCCACATCTCTTGCCTGTGTGTCTTAATTATTCAATGATCAACTATTCCTTTTTGCCTACTGTTTGTAGATTGAAGAGAAAACGCAGAAAGATGAGGCAGAGATCCAAGTGAACTGAACATTGATTTACCTATACTGTCTACATAAGGGTTGTGCACAGCTAAAGAATGGAATGCACTCTGTGTCTGTATATACTCTGAACACTGTGCTGAGATTTAGTGCACTTTTCTTTGTTGGTTGTCGTTTTGTTTTTTACGTCATTTGCGGCGGAAGCGAATATGGTGGGCTTGAATTAGAGTACGTTTTAAGGAGGGGGGACAGGAAAACCAATTACTTTGGCCGTGAATCCCCGGTTGGCTGGCCGGCTTGCTGCGAGTACATATCCTGAACGGTTGCCTTATCTCTCACAGAGGGCCAGTCACCAGTTGAGAGGCGAGATGTCGTTTTCCTCGCAGTACGACCTAAAGGAGGACATAGGGAAGTAAGTGGGCGTTCGCGAGGGAGAAAACGCTGCGCAGCGCGAGACCGATGACTGGCGTCGTTTCTGACATTTCCTCCTGCATCATAACGTGGTTTACATTCGTTGGTTCGTTGCCTAGTGCCGCCTGTGTGTGCTGACATAGCTACATTACGCCTCTATCCAGTTTTTGGGAAGGTGGGAGATGGAGATGCCCACTTTTCTTGTGCCGGACGTGTGGGGTTCTTGTATGGCTTGTGTCAGAACCTGGTCTCCTCTGCCTTTAGTCTGTCCATATGCCACCACACACCCCCTACGAAGCTTCCCCGATGCACTGTTGAAATAGACCTCCTCACCCAGTGGGGTGTGGCAGAGTGATTGCCATGTGTGTAAGCCAGACGTAGAACTTGGCCATCAACTGTCCATCACGTGTATATACCTATGTAGGGCAGTCTATGTTGAATGAATGACCATAAAAATGATAGAGCTGTACAGTATGTTGTTCATGTCGAAGTGCATGTAGTGTACATAATGGCTGCTAAGGTGTGATGCCCGTGCCTGTGTCTGTTGTACAGGGGAGCCTTCAGCATTGTCAAGAGATGTGTTCACAAGCAGACTGGCAAGACATATGCAGCCAAGATCATCAACAAGAGACGACTCTGCCAAAGAGGTGGGGGTGTCATGTCCCAAACGTGGTTATTACGTACTAGAACGAATGCAAAGCATTTTTAGCGAGCGAAGCGAACAGTTCAAATTTTCACGCATGTTTCGCGCATATTAGAATCGAGTAGAACATTACTGTATGTGCAGTGAGGCAGTGCAGGTCACAATTATGTAGAATAATCCCGCATTCAGACGACTCCAATAATGCACACCTGTTGTTTAAAACAATTTTTCGTGCACTGTCCATTGCACTGTCCATACAGTAATGTTTTTAAGTTTGTGAAAAACACAGCTGAAATTCCACACTCCCATTCGCTTACCAATAATTTCTTTCATTCATTCTACATATTATGTATATGTACTACGTGTAATATCTGTATGTAGCTATATGTACATATGCCACTGCTGATCACTAAGTACAGTAATGACATGTCACCTGTATGTATGTACAGGGTGGAAAGTTATGAAAATGTTCTGATTTTAGAAATCTGTGTGTACGCTGGGGCAGGTACCATTTCAGCAACTACAGTAAGGACGCTGCTAAGCAACCCTCGGGGTTTCTAAATAAAAATTAGATGTCATATCTTCAGCGATATTGATGTACAATTCACATTGTGGTTCATCGTGCGCCACCAATCAATACATAAGGCTCGCCAAGGCACTTAGGCTTAGTTCACTGTGCCAGCCACTATCCTTATGACACGCAATATACGGCATTGTGTGACGGGGCCATGCGACATGTGACCTGTCGCTCCAGTTTGAAACTGGAATGAGTAACACACATAGTACTGTTTTTGGAACCTCGAAACAATACCAGCTAGTGGTAAGCATGGGAGGTGTTGGAATGCAATTTGTGCATGTTATAGGGTGCAGAGTCTGAGCTGCGTACACACACACTGTATCCTCCTACCACTCACTTATCAACAGTTGTGTGTGTGTGCTTCTTGCTGATGGGAAACCAGTACAATAGCTATACAATGTACATATGTTGCAGTGCCCAGACAGGAAAGCAGGAGCCCTGCAAGGGTGAATACTTCCCTGTCTTGTGGGTACTGCAACATATTTTTGCCTAGGCAAACGACACGTGTGTATATGAAACCTGCTTGCACATGCAGGATTGTAAGGCTGATAAAATTCCCAAGTACCTAGCTTCGTAGGTGTCGGTTGCATAGGGATATCCAACAAATGCACATTCAGTGCCCTCTGGGAGCACCACAGTAATGATACACGAGAAACAAACTTTACATACACAGACACGGATTGTACTGTGTGTGCGTAGTTTGTGGCTCACTAAACCAGAAGGCTGTGGGAGTGAAAAACTGTAGTGTAGGGGCCCTTGTTTGATACGGGCCAGCCGTCCGTGTGCGTAGTTATCCATATAATGTGCAATAATCACCAGTGATCAAAAGACAGTAATGCGTAGTCAATGAAGTTTGAGGAAGTACTAGACGGCACAACTTGGTTATAATATGGCAGTATAATTTGTGTATATCTTTGTCAGTGTATACACGTGTAAAACGGAGTATGGTGGCATTGTGTGGGCTGATTGAGTGATGAGCAAGGTTTTATTGTGCCCCGTGTGGTACTACGCACAGATTTGCAGAAACTCGAAAAAGAAGAGAAAATATGTCGAATGCTGAGGCACACTAACATCGGTAAGTACGTAGTAGTACACATAGTATAGTTTCTCAGTTCATATTGTATGCTGTATGTAAGCTAATTCACAGATTGGGGCCCACGTGAATGTGTACTGTTGTGTCTAATGCTCCTTATACAGTATTTCCCTCCTCTTCCTCTTAGCTTGTGTTTACTAACAAATTTCACATGTACCACATTTGTTGTGTGTGACATGTCTTTATGATGAGTCGATGCTAAGTTATGCCAGTATTGTTAGAGAAATTGTGAACCATTGTTTCTCCTGGTTGTCTGCGTTAATGAGGTGGCTGTCATTTTCCCCCTTAGTTCAACTCCATGAAACGATATCTGAGGAGACACATCACTACCTTATCTTTGATCTGTGAGCTACTCTTTACTATCTGTGTGTGTGTGTGTGTGTGTGAGTGAGTGTGTTTGTGTGTCTGTGCATTGTTAACTCTTCCTATAATATGTTGTGTGCATAGTTTTATGAAGCGTGGCACGTAGGAGAAAACACAAGTGTCCCTTGCCAAGGGCTACAGTCACTACAAACTTATTTATATAACATGCAGTTACATGTTTGCGTGTATAAAGTGATGTACACTTTATTTCGGTGTCTGACATTAGAATAACAGGAGGCGAGCTGTTTGATGAGATTGTGGCCAGAGAATACTACAGTGAAACTGACGCAAGGTACATATTTACAAGAGTATACTGTGGGTATACTGTGCCATATGAGGGTATACTGTGCCATATGAGGGTATACTGTGCCATATGAGGTATACTGTGCCATATGAGGGTATACTGTGCCATATGAGGGTATACTGTGCCATATGAGGGTATACTGTGCCATATGAGGGTATACTGTGCCATATGAGGTTATACTGTGCCATATGAGGGTATACTGTGCCATATGAGGTTATACTGTGCCATATGAGGTATACTGTGCCATATGAGGGTATACTGTGCCATATGAGGGTATACTGTGCCATATGAGGGTATACTGTGCCATATGAGGGTATACTGTGCCATATGAGGGTATACTGTGCCATATGAGGTATACTGTGCCATATGAGGGTATACTGTGCCATATGAGGTATACTGTGCCATATGAGGGTATACTGTGCCATATGAGGGTATACTGTGCCATATGAGGGTATACTGCGCCATATGAGGGTATACTGTGCCATATGAGGGTATACTGTGCCATATGAGGGTATACTGTGCCATATGAGGGTATACTGTGCCATATGAGGGTATACTGTGCCATATGAGGTTATACTGTGCCATATGAGGGTATACTGTGCCATATGAGGGTATACTGTGCCATATGAGGGTATCTGTGCATATGAGGGTATACTGTGCCATATGAGGGTATATGTGCCATATGAGGGTATACTGTGCCATATGAGGTTATACTGTGCCATATGAGGGTATACTGTGCCATATGAGGGTATACTGTGCCATATGAGGGTATACTGTGCCATATGAGGGTATACTGTGCCATATGAGGGTATACTGTGCCATATGAGGGTATACTGCGCCATATGAGGGTATACTGTGCCATATGAGGGTATACTGTGCCATGACTGTACCACAACACAGTATTTTGAAGTTTGCCTTTCTCTTGCGTTGTTTGAACCCTGAGTTGCCCTGGTACATAGCTCAGTTGGTAGAGTCCTTGCAGTCAACAACAGAGTGTCATGGGTTCAAATCCCACCCAGGGCAGGAGTTGGTGTGGGTGTGTCATTGGTTGCTTTGCCTTTGCCTTTCTCTTGCGTTGTTTGAACCCTGAGTTACCCTGGTACATAGCTCAGTTGGTAGAGTCCTTGCAGTCAACAACAGAGTGTCATGGGTTCAAATCCCACCCAGGGCAGGAGTTGGTGTGGGTGTGTCGTTGGTTGCTTTGCCTTTGCCTTTCTCTTGCGTTGTTTGAACCCTGAGTTACCCCTGGTACATAGCTCAGTTGGGTAGAGTCCTTGCAGTCAACAACAGAGTGTCATGGGTTCAAATCCCACCCAGGGCAGGAGTTGGTGTGGGTGTGTCGTTGGTTGCTTTGCCTTTGCCTTTCTCTTGCGTTGTTTGAACCCTGAGTTACCCTGGTACATAGCTCAGTTGGTAGAGTCCTTGCAGTCAACAACAGAGTGTCATGGGTTCAAATCCCACCCAGGGCAGGAGTTGGTGTGGGTGTGTCATTGGTTGCTTTGCCTTTGCTTTCTCTTGCGTTGTTTGAACCTGAGTTACCTGGTACATAGCTCAGTTGGTAGAGTCCTTGCAGTCAACAACAGAGTGTCATGGGTTCAAATCCCACCCGGGGTAGCTCCTCTTAAAGAGGTGGCATGGGTGTGTCATTGGTTGCTTTGCCTTTGCCTTTCTACGTACCTCGCCCTGCGGTTGACACATACACAGAATGATACGCCTGTGTGTGTGTGTGTCTCTGTGTACCAAACAGTACGCTCCACGAACCGAGGAATGAATACCAGCGTAACAGAAACCAGTGAACGTGTACGCGCAACTGTAAACTGAGCTACGAGACTGTAAGTGTATTAGCAATAGGTGAGATTCTGGTGATCGATTGACTGTTTAAGGATTGTTTTTACGTACGTTTTTGTTTTGTGAAAACAAGTCTGCGTCAAGCAATACACTGTTGTGTATTCCTTTTTTAGTTGGGATTGTATGTTTCAGAAATGTTACACTCAATTCAGCCTACACAAGCCTTTTGTGTGTGTGTGTGTGTGTGTCAGTGACAAGTATTATAATGAGGAGTTGTACAGTTGGACGTTGCGGTGATTTGTTTAAAAGCCGTGGGACGGAAAGAGGGAATTGATTATTACAGGGATATTTTTGGCAGTGGTTTCATACCTGTGCAACATTTTGGGATAGATTACAACAGCAGTAAAGCTTGACCATTCTTAGCTTACATGTTTCTTATTCCAAGATATACAACCAGGTGGTTTCATACCTGTGCAACATTTTGGGATAGATTACAACAGCAGTAAAACTTGACCATTCTTATATAGCTTATTCACCATTGGGACTAGCTAGGGGGTGGAACAAATGGCTGGACTAAAGTAGCTAGACTTCCTATGTATATGTATACATAGCATGTATACATGCTATGTATACATGCTTCATTGTGGAGCAAGTAGATAGACATACAGTACATATGTATTATTTCAACCAGAGAGGGTTGGAAAGTTGTGAGGATTCCACTGGAGTTGGTGTGTTATGGAGGACATGACTCGAGGCACCTAATTCAGAAGAACCGGGCCATATCAGAAACGCTCTTCTGAGAGGGTGGCATGATTTCCTGCTTACAACACACCCTCTGCTGT